GCTGCTGCCCGGCCCGGGGGCCAGAGCGGCGGTCGCCGTCGCAGCGCGGGCTCCCGGTCCAGGCGCGACCCCCACTCCGCCCCTTCGCGTACCCTCTTCCTCCGGGCGGGTTCGTGCACGGTGTGCTTCGGCGGCTGCGCCCTCCTGGGGTGTGAGCGCCCAGGAGTTGAAACTCCGTGCTTCGTTCTCCATCACTCGCTGGCACAGGCCCCGGGCTATGCAACCCAAACTGGCTGCCCGCTGAGTCGATTCCCACTCCGGTGACCCGGCCCCGTGGCTTTCCGAGACTGTGACTAAGGGAGTAGAAAGCCAACACACACACACACACACACACACACACACACACACACATTCTATAACGCCAGTGGATGCACACACGGCGTTAGCAGATGAGAGCCCTGGAGCCGCAGTGGTTATAGTGCTCACCGACTCCCCTGAAGGTCTGCGGTGTGGACCCCCCCTTTCCCGGGAGGAGAAAGCCGAGGTGGGCTCCTGCCCTACAGACGTAGGTCCGCAGAAGCCCTCTGGGGCAGTTGTGCATCAGTGTGTCGCCTGGAGTGGAAATTCACTTCCAGCAGACGACCTTAATTCCCTCCTCCCTTCAGACAAGAATACCAGCTCGTCCTTCTTCCAAAGTATCTACATCCTCCAGTTTCCAAGGGTCCGTTATCCTGGACCGTGAATGTCTGCCCATTTCTTATGCTTTCCCTGATAGGCTAATCTACAAGATATCATCCTTTTGAAACTTGGCATTTAGCAAGAGAGGTGTGCGGATGGGTTGAAGATAGGAAATGGCATCTGGGGGGTGGGGGGGACTGACCCCTGACCCCCGGCTACATCTGGACTGGGCTACTCCCAAGGTGGTGTGGTAGGGTTAAGTGGCAGGGGGCAGCTCACTGTAAGGCCAGGGTGGAGGTGTGTGTGTGGTTGTGCTACTACACACATCAGTGCTTGGGTGCAATGTATTAAGGGAGAGTGTCAAGGAATGAGGGCCTTTTAAACAGCCTAAAATGCCAAAGCCCCCACACTCGTCTTAAACCCTAATAAGTAGTTCTCTTCCATTCAGTTCTATTAATCGAGTGCTAGAATTTTCCTTAGAATACTGCTTTTGTGTACACCGTTTCTTTTTTATTCGTTCATCATTTTATTGGGAGCTCTTATAAATGTTATAACATTCCACAATGCAAATAGTTTAAGCAAAATTTTACAGTTGCTACTAAAATCAGTTTTGAAACATTTTCGTTCTTGAACTCTTTGATATCGGCTCCCCTTTATCCCTTCCCTCCACTCCCCTTTCCCCCCAGGAACCCTTGTTGTTATTGTTGTAGATTATTGTTAATATTCTATCATTATATGTATACAGTGAACCCTCGTTTATCGCGGTTAATGGGTTCTAGACCCTACCGTGATAAATGAAATTCTGCGAAGTAGGATTCCTTATTTGTAAATCAAATATTTTAGTAGTTAGAGCATAGAGGACATGAAAAAACACCCTTTCGTCACCATTACACTCATATTACCCAATTTATTAAACGAAAAAGGGAAAATACAGTAAAACATTTTGGACATTACAATTATCATTTATTATTTATTATATTATTCATGGCATCAAGCGTGTACAGTATGAGCCAATCAGTGGCAGTAATGACAGAGCATGCGCTGTTACGCAAAAACCGTGATAAAGTGAAGCCGTGGAAGTCGAAGCGCGAAGTGGCGGGGGTTCACCTGTATATGTATTTTTCTCCACTTATAATTCTGTTATTCGCTTTCCTTGAGTGGAGTTTTACAATCTTTGTTGCTATCAGCTCCCTCCTTGTCTTCCCTGCCCCCCGTTCCCCCCCCATATTCATTCCCATTGCTCTTTCTGTAGGGTCATCCATGTTGGCATTCCTGCATTGAACAACCTTACTTGTACGCCTGGATGTACATAGGTCTAACTGTATGAATGAGGTGACCATAAGCCTTAATAGTAAGGGGAGGGAATATAAAGAACCAGAGGAGAGTTATGGGTTCAACAGTGCTATGCCACAGCCTGACTTCCTCATCCCCACCCCCCAACCTTGTGGTCCCCGTGAGGGCCTGTCCAATTGTCTTGCAGGTGGGCTTTGGGTCTTCATCTTGACCACGCTCCTTCACATCCATTTGATTGCTTGTCTTTGAACTTCTGATACCTATTCCCGTTGACACCTCATGATCACACAGGCTGGTGTGCTTCTTCCATGTGGGCTTTGTTGCTTCCCTGCTTAATGGCTGCTTGTTTGGCCAAAACCGTTTAAGACCGCAGATGCTGTGTTTGTTAATATCCCGGCACCATCATCTTTCTTCACCACATTTTCTTAGGCACCCATTTTGTCTTCAGCGATCGTGTCGGGAAAGTGAGCATCATACAGGGCCACATTAGGACAAACCGTTCTTGTATTTAGGTGAGATTTTAGTACAGGCCCAAAGTCCATCTGCTTCCTCATTAAATTTACATATATGTACATGTATAGACAAATACTCCTGTATTTATATATTTACATATTTATATATCTACATTTACACATACCGTATATACTCGAGTTTAATAAGCCCATCTAATATCAGCCAAGGCACCCAATTTTACCACAAAAACTGCATTAAAATGCTGGAAAACTTGGCTTCTACTCGGGTATATATGATATATATATACATATATATATTTGCTTTTTTCTTCTATTATGCTTACCCATTGTCCACCTCTCAGTAATTCCCCTCAGTCACTTTTCTGTTGATCTAACCTGACCAGGAATGCTACACCCTCTTCACTGTCAATTTTGTAACCCTTGTTATTCCCCTGTCCCTGTCATTGTTGG